AAACAAAAATGGACATACGTGGCATTCCAGAGTAAATATTCCTAACAATTTGTTTCTCGTGATACAAAAACTTAATACATCATCCTTAACCTCTATGTAAACCTCATTCTTCTACATAATACAATTATATATACAATTATATGTACAATTATATGTATGTTTCAATCCTATCGTTAGCTTAAGATCCGAGCAGTTCTCCAGCGATAAAATTTGTCCCAGATTTCGAAATATTCCAGTTCTGTCTTATCTTTCATAGCCATTGTAAGCCTGTCCATCTCTGCACATGATAAAATTTTATACAGGATTTCTTCCACTCTTATTGGTATCACCTGAAATGTTCAATAGATATATTTCCTTTATTCATAATGTTTAAATGCAATACAGTTGTGATTTATTTTTTTTGTAAAAATCTCATTTTTAAGGGAAAATGACATTCTGTACATGAGTATATTGTGTATTTATGTTCTTAAAAAAAAAACTAAGCCCATGACACCAAGTATTACTTTCAACTGAACACCAAACTATTCAGCAGAGATTGTTTTGATTTCTTTTGTCTTACTGGCTAGGTTCAAATGTTGGGTTAAGTCATAATTTGTTTGAATATGTTTTACTGAATTGGCTGAGTTTACAACATATCCCTTGCCAAAATCAAACAAACCACCTTATGGTTATCACGATCTTTGTGGCTTTACATAGTTGAACCCAGCTGCCATGTAGAATTATTTTTCTTGAACCAAATCTGTTGGAATTACATTTTCTAAAACTCCCAAGCTGTGAGACTATGAATTCTGGGGATTTTCTCTCCAAACCTATAGGGCAGGGGTAGGCAAACTTGGCTCTTTTATGATTCATGGACTTCAACTCCCAGAATTCCTGAGCCAGCATGGCTCAGCTTGGAAACCTCTCCCTTTCCCCTCAGCATGGCTGGATCAGGAATTCTGGGAGTTGAAGTCCACGAGTCATAAAAGAGCCAAGGTTGCCTACCCCTGCTATAGGGCAATAGGCTTTGAAATAAAAAGAAATATAGAAATCATAGAAATAAAAAAAAATAGATGCTGCGGCAAGCAAACAGATTAGCAAGAGGGACATTTCTATATGTTGCTTTCTCAAATCTGGTCTTCTTCAGATTTGTTGAGATTGCAACTCTCAAAATCTCTGAGCCAATTTGATAAATGGCCATACTAGCTGTGGGTTCTGAGGGAAGGTTATTGTATGCTATTTTCAGCCACTTGTGTTAGAAAGTTTTCCATATGTCTATTAAGTATGTTTTGTGTCTGCAGATTTTAATTTTCCTGATCTGAGGAGAATTGTTGGGCTAAGGCAGGGGTGGGGAATCTCGGCCCTTTTATGACTTGTGGACTTCAACTCCCAGAATTCCTGAGCCAGCCATGCTCAGGAATTCTGGGAGTTGAAGTCCACCAGTCTTAAAGGGGGCAGAGTTTCCCATTTCTGGGCTAAGGGCTTGTCATGTGATCTTCCTGAGCTTCTCAGGAATATTTGCTTAGATCTAAAACTGAGCTAAAATTATAATCCTCGATTTATGACCACAGTTGATCCCAAAATTTGTGTTGCTAAGAGAGACATTTGTTAAGTGAATTTTGCCCCATTTTACAACCTTTCTTACCACCATCTTTAAGTGAATCACTGCAGTTGTTAAGTTAATAGCACAGTTGTTAAACGAATCTGGCTTCCCCATTGATTTTGCCTGCAGAAGGTCGCAAAAGGGGATCACATGACCCTGGGATACTGCAACCGTCATAAATATAAGTCAGTGGACAAGTGTCTGAATTTTATTCATGTGACGTTGGGAATGCTGCAATGGCTGTAAGGGTGAAAAATGATCATAAGTGACTTTTTCGGTGCCATTTTAACTTCAAACGGTCACTAAATGAACTGTTGTAAGTCGAGGACTGCTTATATGAGACAATGTGGATAAAAAAATAATCTAAAATCAACCAAAACAGAAGAGATGAGCATAGAATCAATGTACTATAAGGTGAAGCTAAACACTTTTATCAGAATGAACACTTGGCGACCATATCTTGCCTTCTTAGCAATTAATATTATCTGTTATGATCAATCTAACATAGGGCCACCAGAATGCAAGTCAATTTAGAACTTATGAGAAAAAAAGCAGAAACTTCCTGGAATTAGTAGAATACGTATAAAGTATAGCATTAAGTCCCGTTTTTTCTTTGTGAGGAAATCAGCATTGTTCCTGACAGGTCAGTGGAATAATGACTATATAACTGAGACTCCATGCAGGTATGGCAAAATGTTTTATAAAGTCCCCTGGCAAAAAAATAATAATAATATAAGACTGCTGCAGGATTCCTCCAAAGATAAGACCCATATTATTTTAAATTATCTTTTTAAAAAATGGATTTGAAAAAACAGAATTATTTCCATGCACAGTAGGGTGCATTGCTGAACAGCAAAGGCATTTTCATTCTTTTTTATGCATTGTTGTCTTCTATTAATAATTTAAATTTTAAATATTAAACTTTAATAAATTAATAGCACATTAAATCAATCAATCAACTTCCATTCCTTTAATCTCAGAGCACTGTTCAGAGAATACCTACATTCAAGTGCTTACAGTTTCTCTGACAATCAACCACACAAAAACTTTAAAGTCGATTTGGGCTTCAACAATATTCAACTTTATTTCATATCTAGCTGCTTAATTCCCTTAATTTCTTGGAAGCATCTTTTCTGCAGCAGGTAAAAACAGTAGAAGCCAGCAGTTGTATGAATGAAGTACATATGGCATCTCATTTTTGCAAACTTTATCCCATCTTTCCATGAAAGCAGTTCATGAAGAAACCACATGAATATGACAAAGATGATTTCAAAGAGAGCAGGAAAAGTGGATGGTTTCAATACATGAAGTTCTATTGAACCATTAATCTAGCTACCCTAATATTACTTGTGCAATTCTGAAAAACTCATACTCCCTTAAGATTGATTTTATCTAGTGCACTAATTCCACCGTGAACAAACTCTTGGTGGGATTATCTTGGTGGGATAATGAAACTCTACATTATATGGATGATTCTGGACCTTCTCCCGTTGATGATTTATGCTTATTGGAAAGGTCACTCTAGAGTTTTCATTCATCCACAAGATACGGGGCTGAAAGCAAAGAAGCAAGTCATTTTCTATAGGGTGCCTCTGAGTGACTTATATAGAAAGACACAAGATTATAAGTCTATTAAACACAATGGAGGGGAAAAAATCCTTGTTATATGTTAAGTTCTCAGCACAAATGGAGATTTAGATGTCCCCCTCTCCCCCACCCCCATCCCCCAATCTCCAGGCTCCACCTCCTGTATTGATAAACACCTCTGTTAGATTACAGGTAGTCCTTGACGTACAACCATAATGGAGCCTGCTCATTATGGTCATAATGAATCCTGTTAAATAAATAAATAAAATGGGTTGGTGGTTTTATGGAATTTTTTGTGGTTGTCCCATGCTTATGAAGTGAATCCAAGTCGTTAGGCAAATGCCATGGTCATGAAACGAACCAATGGTTTCACTACGGGCCTGGTTTTGTTGAACACTGGATGTAAGTGACAGTTTTCTGCAAAACCATCATAAAATGTAGTCATGTGACCATGGGACACTGCAGATAGCCATAAATGTGGCCATGTTGTTAAGCAGCTAAAGTTTGATCACATGACTGCAAAGTTGACCCAACTATTGGACCTTTAAATCCAGGTCGTAATTTCCTTTTTAGGAGGTTGGTAGTAATTACACTTGTTAAGTGACCAGTCTTAAGTAGAGGACTACCTACAGTATATATGCATTTAGTTAAGGACTGAGCCTCAGAAATCCAGTCCCTGAGTGATGTATTTTAAACATAAATTGTAACGTATGTTATTTTAGTCATCAAAGATTCCACTGCTGCTTTATGGTTTATTAAACGCAATACAATTACTTATGTAATTTTAGAAAACTAATAAATCCCTAACATTAATAAACACACTAACACTGTGTTTTAACACAATTAAAACCCCAAGTGCAAAGCGCACGTAGAGAGGTGCCTCTCTACGTGCACTTTGCACTTTGGGTTTTAATTGCAAGAAATTGAGCATAATTCTAATTTAGTCTGACTCTTCGTGCTTCAGCTTTGCATATTTGGTGCAGTCGGGTGGGAGATTGATGCAAGGGCGTGTTTGTTTTTGTTGATTGTAATTTGCACAGAGGAAAATGGAGAC